AATTTACAAATTTTAGTGATTGGACGCTTGATAACATTATTTTCGGTTTGAATAGTTAACACGCGAACCTTTTTATCAACTCCCGGATGAAGTTCGATTATTCTGCCAAGTTTCCACTGCAGGGGTGGCATATTGTCGCTTACAATTAAGACTATGTCATTAACAGCTAGATTTTCTCTTTCGATCGTCCATTTGCATTTGCCCTGCAATGACGTTAAATATTCGACACTCCATCGCTTCCAAAAAATGTTGAGTTATACGCTGAGTCAATTGCCATCTGTCAAGTCTGTTAATAGGGACGTCTAATACATTGATGTCTGGCAGACTAATAAGCGGTCCCCCTATTAAAAAATGTGCAGGCGTCAAAGCCTGTAAGTCGTTAGGATCAGAGGACAATTGACATAGCGGTCTTGAATTTAAGCAAGCTTCAATTTGAGCTAAAACCGTCATAAGTTCCTCGAAAACGAGTCGCGTTTCGCCAACAACTCTCTTTAAATGGTATTTACACGAGTCGGAGACCTGCTTCCCAAATACCACCCATGTGAGGCGCAGCGTGGGGGGAATAAATTTCCATTCTATGCTTTGTGATGTACAATATTCCTCTATCGATTTGGAAAACGTTCTGATTGTCCGATACAATTCCTCAAGCTCTCTTTTTGCGCCGACGAAATTAGTGGCATTGTCGCTATAAATTTTTTGCGGATAACCTCGTCTGCTCACAAAGCAGCGCAATGCAGCCAAGAACGCACTCGATGTCAACTCACTGACTGCTTCTAAATGAACCGCTTTAGTCGAAAAGCATATGAACAACGCAATATATGATTTGCGACTTCTTTGTCCTCGGCCCTTACTCGCAACCGTAACAATAGGGCCAGCGTAATCAATTCCCACTATCGAAAATACTCGTTGACAAGCGGTAATCCTATCAGGTGGCAACGGTCCCATTATTTGATCTGACAACCTTGGCTTAACCCTGAACACGTTACGCATCTCCTTGTTATTCTACGAGCAGTGTTGCGGCCGTTCAAAAGGCCAAAATACTTTCCCGAATTGAAGAAAGCAAAGCTTGTGGACCGGCATGTAGCATACGACAATGTTCCCGTTCAAATAATAATTCAACAAATCGACATCTTGCCGGCAGCAAAATCGGATGTTTTTTGTCATGATTAATAGCGGATCTCTGCAACCTGCCGCCCACCCTGAGAATCCCGTCGTTATCTAAAAATGGACTCATATGGGCAAGCGCGCTGTTTCTATTTACGCGATCGTTGTTTAAGTCATCCAACTCCCTTGTAAAAAACTGCTCTTGAACATGTTTAATTAATT